ATATTTGAAATGAAATATTAATATCTTAATATAAACTAGAAGTTTTGCACACCACCAAACCATCTGTTAGAATCATACTAGGGGGCCCTCCCCAGTGGTTTAAAGCACAGCACTAAAAAGATAAAGTCACTTGCTCATGAGTTCGATACCCGCCTGCCCTGGAAGTGATCACATGGCGCGGCAGATCTCCCCTGACATGCCCTCTGCTCCCCTCAGCATTGTACTTCGTCAATCTGCCTGTTCTGCTCCACACTCTGGTGAATCCTCTCAGTGTCCCTGCACCTTTGGCTTGTACCTCAGTTCGTATACACAAATAAGTAAATAATAATAAATCATACTAGGTAGTGATATTAAAAATGATTTTTACAAGTTTAACTGCTAACCCTTAAAATCTGATGATAGAACTGAAGCATCCAGAAGAGGAAGGGCTGGGGAGGGATGAGAACCAAGAGGGAAGAAAGCACAATAGACTCTGGTGGTAGACTATGGGTGATTTGATGGTGGGTGCAGTAGTCAAGTTATATCTGCAAAATCGTTATTAGATCCAATCACTCATTTGACTCAACCTTGGCAACAAGTTACTGTTATACTCAAGATATATCCCCATCCCTTTAGTAAGTTCTTCTGTTGCTTACAAGTCTAGTGTTTGCTCCTTCCCACCTAATCATAAACCACACCTGTCCTGGGTTTACCAGGCTCTAGGCACTCTGCATTGCTCTTCCTTTACTCACATATGACTGAAGATGCTCCATTGATAGTTGGCCACTTCTCTTTATCTGGTCAACCTTAAACATTAATTTTTAGAGGTTTCCCACAACTAACCAGACAGAATCAGCCCTCTTACTGTCTTCTTTCAGCAATATCTTAATTATATATCAGTTTGTACTGTTATATTTATCTGTGTGATAGTTCCTTTAGCACCTTTTCCATTAGCATGTAAGTCTAGTACAATTAGGAAATGTGTCTATTTGGCTCATTGCTTGTCTTGTGCTCTGATCAAGTGTCTGTCACATAGTAGCCTCTCATTCAGACCTTGCATGCAAAATCTATCTGGGTGTGAACATAGTTCCATTTTCTAGCAGAGTTCTCTACTAAATAGGAAAATAATGTCAAAAACTATAGATATTTCTCCATTTCTCTTGTCAAAAGACAAATACAAATTGTCTTTTGATAGTGAATCATTTAATCAAATCTTAGAAAGTTATCAGTATAGGTGATTTACAAAAATAAAATTGAATAGTCTAGAAAACTGGAATCTTCATCCTTGGAGGAGTAATCAGAGGATAAAAACTAAGTTATATGTACATTAAGGTCTGTGGAAGGCTCTAGATAGAGACAAGATGATTTGATAAACAAAGAAGTGAATTTAGTATGCTTTTCTTTTTGTTTCATTTTTGTTGTTGTTTGTTTAATATTTTGTTGAGGAACCAACTGTTCTTTTGTACAAATAGGAAAAAGGCTTAGAAATTCTCCCCTTGACTCTGACTCCCCTTTCTCCACCTTGAAGAAGTTTGTTATAACATGGCATAGTGTTCTTAAATGCTATGCAAACATTCAGAAAAATACAAAACTGACAGCACATAGTACTCAAAAACTCAGTCAGTGACACATAAGAAGATAGGAATCTAATAAAAAACAGCAGCTAAGCTTTACATGTAGGTTTAGTCAGGAAGAAAGAAGACTTAGAGTCAGAAAACTTAGTGTGTTCCAAAGCTGTCATTTCTAACAGTGCAACCTGGGTAGGTGCCTTCCTTCATTTGTCACTTTCTTTGTCTCTCCATGAAGTTGATAAATTGGAATTTGTTCAAATGCAGTGGTAAAGGTAGAAACATTTGAAAAAATGTGAATGTCTCCAAATTAAAAATTTTCTCATAGAATTATTATTTTGTTTCAGTTAGAGGTAACAGCTAAAGATCACAGTGTTGAAAGTTCACCTACTTAGGGTCTACTTTTGACTTCAAAATCAGCCTTTTGAAGTAGTAGAGCCTCTCTCCTTTAAGGAAAGAAGAATATAAGAGCATGTGACTGGTAGTTTCCAGTGAACATACATGTAGCTTCTGATTCAGTTTTGTATTGTGATCCTGAACAGTGATATGAGTATAATGGCAAGAGAAGCAGTGAGGAGAGAGAGAAGAGAAGGAGAGAGAAGAGAAGGTTTTGCTAAATGAAATGTGAAGACAAAAATGTTTGGCTCAATGAGTTTTGAAATGCACTACTAGTGTTTTCTTTCTTTTTTTTTTTTAAAGTTTAATTTAGTTATTCATACAGAATTGGGGTACAAGCCAGAAGTGCAGGGGCAGTGAGAGGCTTCACCAGAGACAGAGTGGGAAACAGAACAGGCAGATCGATGAAGTACACTGCGGAAGGGAGCAGCAGGCGAGACAGGAGAGGTCTGCTGCGCCATGTGGGTCACCTCTGGGGCCAGGGATTGAACTCACACAGAAGTGGCTGTGGCTAGCTTGCAGTGCTGCGTCCTAGCCTACTAGTGCTTTCTTAAGATATTTTCTTAAAATCATCCCAGCCCAGTGGTTCCATAGGAGAGAAAGTGCCATAGAATTTGGCCTCATCAGATTTCTATGACACTGTTTATACTTACTATTCTTCAGTATCTGCTGGTGACATATAAATAATATACACCCTTTTCCCATTTATTACTCCTTTTCAGTCCCCTGCTGTAAAAGATAAAGTATTTCTGGCCTATCTATTGTTATACCCTCTTGGTACTTTTAACCATGTTTTTTTAATTTTGGAAGGAAAGTTTCCATATATGGAAAATAGGTGTGATGTAGAAGTGAAACTGCTGATTTATCTGAAGCACATACCATTTAAAGGGATTATATTTTAGTAAACAACTTTTGCCTTTACTATTATTAGAATTCCCCCAAGACTTCCTCTATAGTGTAAGGATGTCATTTTACTCATACATTAAAGACAAAAAATGAAGAGTGGATTATTCAGGAAACTTCTCCATTACCAGATTTTGTGAACTCTTCATTATGACATTGAATGAATCAGTGTAACAATCTTTACTTTAAAGGAAGACTACTATTTTCTCTGTAAAGTTTTACATTCTTCCTAGGATGTACTTGTGAACTAATTAATATACACCATGGATTTTTGTTTGTTTTTTGCTTGTTTCTAGAATCAAAACTGATCAGTATTCCTTGATATCAATCATATATCCGTGTTCCTTTTAGTCCATTAATGCTATAAATATAGGAATGTTAACTATATGTAGCAACTGAGTCAAGAATTTATTTTTAATTGTGGTAAAATGTATGTAATATTAAGTTTTCTATTTTAACCACTTTATAGAGCGTTGATTTTAGTTAGCACATTTATCTCTTATGACCGCGTTTGTTTTCCTTACTTAAATCTGATGAAAAGTGACGCAATAAGATTTAATTTGACTTGGCTTTGTTCAATTGATAGAATTATATGTTGTTCAGAGTTAAAAATGAATTATCAAAGACTTCTGGGCACAGAAGCTGCAGGCCTGGCTTAGCAAATGGCCTGTTTTTAAATTAAACAATAAAAGAATTACTTATGGTACTACTATGCACTGTGTAATACACTAAACACAATATTCGGATGTGCATTAGACACAGTCCCAATCTCAAAAAGATGTTTGTCTAGTTAGAGAATTATGATACATGTGCTTGAATAATAATGATAGAAATATAAGCAAGGACCCAAAAAGTGGTAAAGATAATAATGTGTTGATGGAAATCAGGGAAGGAAGAGTACAATGAAGTGATAAGAGAAAAATTCTAAAGGAAATATCTAATAGCTGAGACAGTAAGGAATCTTCAGATTTTAAAGATAGACCTCAGAAGTCATTTTGAGCAGGAGAGGCAATGTCAAAGGTTCAGAGACAATGGGATGTGTGGTTATTTTAGAAAATTGGTGATTTATTTCTAGATTATAGTCTAATATTTTCTTCATAATCCTCAGGAGAACTTTTCCCCCATGAGTTAAAGTTAGAGAAAATCCATCTTTTTTATATCTCACTAAAATATGCCCTCTGCAATATAGTCAATTTCATTCTAATTCAAGTAGCATCAAACAATCTGATTTATTTGGAAACTGAGGTCTCTGCTTCCCCCCTTTTCCCTTTAAGAGTGTAGGTGAGAAAAAAAAAGCATAATTCTCTTAAAATTAGACATTAAGTATTTGAGTTTCATTATAGAATAGGCATTTTTATGAAAAGTGCTTTATTTAGCAACAGCAATAACAATAATGATAGTGTGACATGCTTTTAAAAAGTAGCAATAAAAACAATGTTGGGTCATAAGTATTAGGAGTTTCTGAGTTTGTGTGCTTCTCTCCAGTTGTAGCAGTAAGTGTCTGGTGAGCCTTCTACTCTGTTCATCTAGACCCTCTATTAATTCATGATGCCTATTGGTAAAATGAGCTACTTTTCTGGCTGATGTTTTAGCCTATTTTTATCTCTGAAAACCTGATTGAAGAAAATAAATAATAGTTCTTTAATTCTATTATCATGGGCTACCTAGTCTAATTAACTTGAAATGCTGGTCCTCCTATGTAAAACAGAAAGGTTCCCTTTAAAGCTTATACCAAAGATTGAAGATGAGATATTTCTGAAGAGGCATTAATTATCTTACTCATTATTACTTGAATTATCATATAGTTCATAGTATTACTAGGTTATAGAGCCTCATATCTGCAGAGGAATCCACCTGCATTAGTAGAAATTATTCAAACATTAGAGTGAAATCAACCAAGATTGAAAACCTATTAACTTCTGGTTTAAATGACAAATTACTTATATGTCTTGATTTCTGACTTTATAGCCAGTGATTAATAATAATCCTCATGAAGTTGTAATAAAGATGAAATTAATATATATATATATACATATACATATATGTATACACACACATACACACAAGTTAACCCTTATAACCAATTATTACTAATTATTGTTGTCATAATATTTACGAAAAATCTTAAAAGTCATCCCCTTGTGTTTTTTCCAGCATGAGAAGCTGATACATGAATTGGAAGAAGAGAGACACTTACGTCTTCAGAGTGAGAAAAGATTGCAGGAGGTGACACTGGAATCTGAGCACAACAGAATTCAGATGCGTGGCCTGCAGCAGCAATTTTCCAGGTATTGTTCTGACTGAGCATCTTGCTATAGGAGGTGCATTGCTTCCCACACCAATAACACATTTTCTTGCACTGTGCAAACATAACCTTGCATCTGAGGAGCGAGTATACCAATTAGGCCTTTTGGCTGATCTATCCTAATGCATTCACACCTCAAATAGAAATTTTTGGCTTCTTTTCTTCCTTATGACTTTCCGTGGGGCCTTCCAATAAGATGTGGTGGCATTTGACTGTAGGCATGTCCTGTGACAAGCCAGCCAGGAGGAGAAAGTGAATTTAGATTTCCAGTAAGCTCTTAAACTTTACTTAAAGGAAGCATTTAGGAATTGTAAAATAATTTAATAATAATAACAATTTCCTTTCCCTTAAAAAACAGAATGTAAGGCTATTAAAAAATAGCTCCTCTTAGATTTAATTCCAGCAAAATCGAACTCTTTCAACTTCCAGTTGCTGTTAATATGAAGTAGGTGAAGGTTTGACATTACATATGAAAATCTTTTCATGTAATGGACCAAATATAGCTACCCTGTGATGGGTGATTTGTTTTCATTTTTATTTCACTTTACCATTTGCAACATCAGGAAAAACATTTTTGTTTCATTTATCCCAGGCAGAATTAAGTTTGAGAAGTTGCCTAAAATTTTCACGAACATTCTGTGTGATTTTGTCTTTAACTTACCATTGGGATTTATTTAATTGTATAGCTGGTGATGTATAAGATAGTATATCAGTTATAAGATTTTAATAATATTACCTTATTTTTCAGATGTGTTTTAGGAGATGCCAAAGTGGAATCTCCAAATGATTTATGTAAATGCTTTTGTCTCTGGTTCAGAGGCTTCTTGGAAGAACAGAATAGGAAGAGTGGATGACTTCTTTTCTTTGTATTCAGTCATAATTTAGCACTCTGCACAATTGTTCAAGCCCATGATAATACACAGATGCCACAGAAATGCACTAATCAATACTTAAATGGATTCATGTCCCACCCCTCACAGTCTATTACTTATACAACCCTGTGCTCAGTTTTTCACTTGGCTTAATGGCAACTGTGGCTTTATGTCTCCAACTTAAAATAATAGATCTTTCCATTTCTTTAAAACAAACACTGCTTCCCAATACTTGCCATTTTAATGATCTAGGAAAGGAGAAGGTAGATCTTGCTATCCCCATATCTCTAATTGAAATGTCTCTGCATTCAAATTATTGATTTATAGGATACTAGGCACATGGCACAGTAAATTATTTTCTTATGATGACAGGTCATCTGCCATAAATCAAATGACAATCACATACTGATTTGAGTTATACCAGAACTAAGGCTGAGATAGAAGATAATCATATGCAAAATAAATAGTGGTTGGCTTTACATACTGATTTTGTGAAATTCTGTACCATCCCTCTCCCCCATGTAATCAGTTTTTTTATATAAACTTTATTAAAACTGGAAAGTTCAAGTACAATTGCAGCTGAACAACTAATGTAAATTAGCAAACAATGGGAGAATAAATGCATATATAACAAATAAAATAATTGCACAATTTAAGTAGACCCACTGTACCATTTCTGATGGTCTTTCACATTCTAAACATTGGTTCCTAGGATATTTCTAGCTATGCTTATTTAAACAATTCTATTCCATAATTTACTCTTTGTAAAATTCTTAGTACAGTATAACATGCCTGTAGTGCATTACCCTTGGACATGGACAGCATCTAAATGTTCACACGAATAATTTCTATAATCTAAATCACTATATTGAATTTAAATTTTTCATATTAATATTTTTCTCCCTTTAATTCTTGGTAGGAAAATACATCTTATATGTAGTGATATCTGAGCTATTAAATAAATCCCTTTGAATATTGTACATGGGTTGAGGTTAATTTTAGAAATAATTCTAAATACCTGCCTTTTCAAAAGATGAAATGGTTCATAATAAAAGATAATTTTACAGTAATTATGGTGAAATAAAAACAGAAAATGGCATACAGTCATATTAACAAACCCCCACATGTTTTCTGAGACTAGACATTTAATATAGCTCTAAATAGCTCTAAGACTTTTGCCAAGTAAGGTTTTAAAAAAAAATGGATACATAATTCTTAACTCAGTCTTTGAACACTGCAACTTTATCTTTGGTAATACTTTGATAGTAGATTGCTTCACAGAGCCCTTTCATAGATGCCATTGAAGCCTATAATAGTGGTATAAATGATGTAAATTGGGATCAGTTCTTAGAAGTGCCATTATTTCTGTTATGTCATCTATTTCTACATGTAATTTCTGCTATGTCGCCTATTTCTGCATTACCCTTTGTAAAATTCTATTACATAACATGCAATTTAATGTATTATCTAATGATATATTAACTAGGAATTCTGGGTCTATGTCTAAATGATAACAAGTCAAACAGGAAGAACTCCAGTGCTCAAGAATCTCAATTCAAATACTGTACTACAAATTTATGGGAACAGCCACATATATACAAGTTGTATCTACATTAAGTCTCTTTTATGAATTAAAGCACAGAAGCATAAACTGCCTCAGAAAGTATCCTGGTATGTTTATGGTGATATAGCCTTACAGAAATTAATGATGTCCCAAGTGTCAAATTCAGTGCTGAGGTGAGGCATTGAAGAAGGTAAATAGTGAAGTTAGAAGCTGGGAAAAATTGTGCGTATGGGTGGAGGTGGGGAGGTAGAGTCTAAATGTCAGAATGATTCAGAAATTTAGTTGAGACTTGATTTTGTGATTTTTTTTTTCCCAGTAGGTGATAGGTCTGATGGCTTAAAGGAACCTAACATAGCTAAATATCCATGGTTGCCTAGTTATGAGTGATGGGATCAGTTAGGTGATGGAATCTATGAAAACTTTGAAATGAGTCGTTCTCTTTTATGTTACCACAAACTTTCATCCATATTCTCTTTCACCTCTTGACTTCTGGCTAATGGTCAGTAATTGTTCAAATTTGCCCAATTAAAAATTACATAATCTGCTCTAAGTTCATAAGTCATTAACTTCTTTCTTTGAGAATGATACAAGAACTATAACAAACTTAACCCAGACCATTTAAATTACTAAATGTAAATTCAAGAAAGAAAAAATGGTATTTTAAGGCTCAGCCTTCTCTATAGATGAGGGAGCTTCTCTAAGTTTGTGCTGAGCAGTAGGTGGTGGTATCATCAGGGCTGCCCCTCCTTTGCCTTATTGTTTGATAATCTAAGTCAAAGATGCTTTTTAAGATACATTAATGATTGCCTAACCTATTTTCTGTATGGTCAGACAACTGGGCGTATTTTAGATGGCATTAGCTTTGTGACTTCTCTATAATTCCAGAACTGTTTCCAATTATGTTTGAAGACAGACTTGTGAGGAAATACATAACTCTGCAGAGTACTGATTTCATACAACCCATGCTTGATTTGCAAATGCCTTTGAATTGCCCCCTTCAGAAATCTAGTTATATACACTATTACTGAAAACTACTGTTCTTATCAGACAGCCACTTTTATTAGTCTCTTAATAAGATAGGACCTACTATGTAACCTGAAAATTGTAGAATACATATTTAGAAGCCTTCTATTCACATATGAAAAAACAACACATTCATATTTTAGCTGTAAGTGAGGGGAAATTTAGTTCAAATTCAGGATAGACTTTATATTAATGGCATGTTGTTATGCAAAGTGAGTGGATCAGATGAAATTAGTGACTGAATAGTTATATTAGCAATAATTTTATGTGTGATAACTTTCTGCTGTAATGTGTTTGAAGCTTTACATTAGAATTAGCCTGATAGATTCACCATCAGGCATGAATACTTTGTAAACTACATATAGATAGTTAGCAAACCATATTACATCCAAAGCCTGAGAATGTAAATGTGTTTGTGTATATATGTGTGTGTGTGTGTGTGTGTGTGTGTGTGTACATGTACACCACACAGCGTAAATTTAAATAAAGGAAATAATTATTCTTTGTCACCCATAATTGACCTAGCTAGTTAAAGATAATCCACATGGACTTCAAACTTACACTCCCTAGCTTCAGGATTTTTCTGCACCTGTTCTGATCTTAACTCTCTGCAGTGTTCTCTGCTGTCTAGCAGCTATTTGTTTGCTTTCTATAATGAGTTTTTCTCCTATCGTCATTGATTGCTTTTCTAAAATGTGGTCTACAGTATCCTGAAACCTGAAAGAGACATGAATACAGATGATTTTATTGCTTAGCTTGTGCACTTGTCCCATAGACTTTATGTACTCTTCTGCTGCCCGTTTGGAAACTATAGGTAACTGGCTTACAAATGAATTCTGAGTAGGATAACATGATCTTAAATGGTCTACTAACATTTTCCCTTCAGTCTCTTTATCTGTCTAGTAGATTAAAAGGACATTTTTCCTACATCTTTGGAAGGAGAAAAAAGTTAATTGACCTTTGGATAAGTAATAGCCCAGACCTCATCTGTTCTACTTCCAGACCTCATCTGTTCCACTCCTAGATTTGTTTATATTTCAGATGGTTCCATCACCTTTAAGCTATCACAGAATCTGGCTCTCCTGAGTGCCTTATTCCTCCCAATGAATATAAAGAGCAATTTTGTATTGATTCAGGATTGCTGTTTCTATACTATAGATAATAATTCTGACTGAGATCTCTCATAAACATGGAGGCCTCTCATGTATCTCTTTGAGTAAATCCACCAGAAGTTTAAAATGGCAAGACAACATTGGTGAAATAATAAATTTTATTCAAATTGCAGCAAATGGAAGAAAATATTTTTTACATTTAAAAAAAATACTATAATAGTTTATCTTTACATTATTTTGTGCCTTTCTCCATCTCAGTTGTAATCACCCGTGGGCTTCCCATCACCAAATCACCCATATGCCATCATCATAGTCCAGTCACTTCCCCCACCCCAATTTTGATCCCATTCCCCGCTCTACCCCCATAAAATGTCTCTGGTATATAGTTGTTCATTGTTACTATTATTTTTTT